GTCGCGGGGCTCGAACTCACGAACTGTGAGATCATGACCTGAGCCGAAGTCGGACGCTCAACCGACTGCGCCACCCAGGTGCCCCATGTCATTTTATTTTTTAATAGTGTTTTACTGTGTTTTTTTTTTTTTTTCAGCTGACTGATTTTTTTTTTTTTTTAATTTAAATTCTAGTTAGTTAACACACAGCATAGTATTAGTTTCAGGTATACAAAATAGTGACTCAACATTTCCATACATCACCCTGTGCTCATCACAAGTGCTTTCCTTAATCCCATCACTTATTTAACTCATCCTCCCTGTTCCCACTTCCCATCTGAGGTTATTGATTATTCTTAAGTCATAGAATGAATTGGGAAATGTTTTCTTTATTTTAAAATTTTCTGGAAGACTTTGTGTAGAACTGGTAATATTTCTTCTTTTAATGTTTAGTAGAATTCTCTGGTGAATCTGTCTAGTCTTTGTGTGTGTGTGTGTGTGTGTGTGTGTGTGTGTGTGTGTGTATGTGTGTGTGTGTGTGAGTGTATGTAAGAGTTTTTAAGTAGAATATCATATTTTTAAATAGACATAGAGATTATTTAGGTTATCTACTTTTTTTTGATGGACCTTTGGTGGTTTGTGACTTCTAAAGATTTTTGCCTATTTCACTTAATTGGTGAAATTTATTGGTATCAAATGGTTCATAATATTCTCTTATCTTTTAATATTGTAGAATCATTAATGAGGTAATTTCATTCTTGATTTGATAATTTGCATCTTTTCTTTTTTTTTCATATCAGTCTAGCTAAGTGTTTGTCAATATTATTGATCTTCTCAAAGATCCATTTTACCAACAGCTCTTTTAAGCCTACTTTGACAGCCAGATCTAGTTAATATTATCTTCTTATATAAATTCCATTTATATATATATATATATATTCCATATATATATATTCCATATATATATATTCCATATATATATGTGTATATATATATACACACACTATAACCATTTATCTTATTCTTACAAAATAGGTTCAAAGAGAGTTTTCCATTGTATAAAATAAAATTTTGTACATTATGAATGGAAAATACCATTAGTGTGGATGTTCCTTCCACAAGATTTTAAACTATGGCGATCTTACTTCTGTTTAAAATCTCAAGTGATAATGAACTCAGTATCTTTCACACTTTTGGGCAACTCAAATTTTAGAAAGGTTTGTTTTGCATTGTTGCCTGTACCAAAATGGCATTAAAGATAGGTGACTTAGAAAACAAGAGAGTCTATTTTGACATTTCTATAAAAACACAATTCAACTGAATATTATTTCATAATTTCTGTTTGAGATAGGGTATATAATGGGGAAACAAGAAAAAATGGAAAGCATGAGAGGAAACAACTCTTATTTTATGGTAGTTCTGTTTCTGCTGACAGATTTAGTGAATGCTGAAGTCTTTAATGAAGAGCTTTAATGACTCTTTTTGAAACTAAGGTAAGAAGAATGCAAGAGAAGTTGTGACTGGAGAGGGCAAATCAAGGCCTAAATCTTTAGCTACTAAAGGCAAAAGTGTAACAGAAATGCTCCAAATAATGTGAGATTTAATGTACCAATGTATGTTATTGAACAAAAATTACACGTGGAAATAGTCTAAGGATCACAAATAAAGCAAACTGTCTCCCTTCATCATTTTCATTCCTGTTCACATAAGCTATTTGTTTTCGAGATAAATCACATGTCCTTATTCCTCGCCTGGTAACATTACCAAGAATTTTGGACTCATAATTTCTTCACACTCACTTAACTTTTATCATTTTTATTATAAAAACAAAGAAGTGGAAAGAATATATAAGAAAAATAACATAAAAAATAAAAATGAAAACCTATTTTCTATGGACCTTTGCTTTTGGAATATTATCACCAAATTTTATGCAGTCTGCCTGCTTTATTATTAAGTTCACAGAAATTTAGTTATAGACCCTGCTACTACAAAGATTCTGCTTTGTTCTGTCCTACTATGTCATCAGAAAGATCTCTCTTTCTCATTGTATTGATTTATGATTTCATCTTGGGTATTTTTTTTTAACATTTATTTATTTATTTTTTTTTTTTGAGAGACAGAGACAGAGCATGAGTGGAGGAGGGGCACAGAGAGAGGGAGACACAGAATCCAAAGCAGGCTCCAGGCTCTGAGCTGTCAGCACAGAGCCCGATGCGGGGCTCAAACTCAAAAACTGAGATCATGACCTGAACTGAAGTCGTTTACTTAACTGACTGAGCCACCTAGGCACCCCTCATCTTGGTATTAAATCTTGGTTTCTACTACCTTATCATTCTTTTCACCTAATATCATTAGAGTTTTTACTTTTCTTTGACACAGGCGAGACTTGGTGAATGAAAAAATAGTGAACATGAGTAATATTTTACTGGCACCTTACAGGATAGATAAATGATGAAGTAGAAAAGAGGTACAGGAAATATTTTAAAAAGCACTAAAAATGCATTGCCATTGGGGTACAAAAGTGTGTGAAGGTTTTAAGGACAGAAAGATCTTTGTGGATAATGTCTTTATAAATGGCTAATTAATGATAGCTTCATTCCTCAAATAGTTAGAAAAATTAAAAGTAAATCCTAAAAAATAGTCATACACCCATAGTCTGACATTAATACTTTACATTTTTATTTATTGTAAATATTGTTGATAAAATATTAAATCTATATAGTTTGATAGCTTTTCTAGAACCTATTTTATCTATTTTAGTTATGATAAATCTGGGATCTTATTTAAGGCCCTAAGAACTAAAATTGCTGAGGTATCTGGGTGGCTCAGTTGGTTGAGCATCTGACTCTGGCTCAGGTCGTGATCTCACAGTCCGTGAGTTCGAGCCCCACTTGAGATTCTCTCTCTCTCTACTTCTTTGTGTTCTGTCCTTCCCCATTTGTGCTGTCTCTCTCAAAATACATAAACTTAAAAAAAAAGAAATAAAGTAACAAAGAAACAAAGAAAAAAATAAAGAAATAATAATTGCTGTTCATTGGTTGTTTGCCCCAAATTTTTAGAAATACATATGTATCAATTGATCTGTTAATATTAAACAATGATAAGTAATCTATACAACTTTTAAAAAGGACAGATTAATGTGGTTGATATGAAAAAACAAAACAAAATTGCTTTTGTTTCTGCCTAACACTTAACTTCTAGGTCAAATAGGGCATAGAGCGGTTTACTGAATTAAACAAATAATATAGTTTTTAAAAAGATTAAAAAAGAGGCAATGCATTCCTATAAACTTACGATAACTTAAACCTTAAATTTTTTGTAATGTTTATTTATTTTTGAGAGAGGGAGAGAGACAGAGCATGAGAGGCGGAGGAGCAGAGAGAGAGGGAGACACAGAATCCCAAGCAGGCTCCAGGCTCTGAGCTAACAGCACAGAGCCAGAGGCTGGGCCGGAACCCACAAACCATGAGTTCATGACCTTGAGCCGAAGTTGGGTGCTTATGTGTCAGCCACACAGGCACCCCCAACTATGCTAACTTTTAGAGTCCATTTTCCACTTGGTTCCTTATATACACAAATGTTATTCAATACTGCCTAATAAAGCCCAATCTCTTCATTTGCACTGAAGATATTCTAGATGCTGCTGAAGAGGATGGGACTTCCAAAGTCAGTCACTTCACTCAGCTGCTGCTTCGGAAGCACACGGGAAGCAGTCGGTCTTATCACCCCACAACCCGGAAGACAGCGCTGCCCTGAGAGTTTAGAGGTCGTACTCTTCACCCTCTAAAATACACGTCCAAAGTCCATGTGCTGGCTTAATCATTCCTTACCAGTGAGGTATATAATGGTTGGTAGCAAAAGAAATGATGAAATACATTTCTGTCAAATGACATCGTTTGGCACTGGGGAATTTGACATAAGCCATAGGTAGAGATGTCTGGCTGCCGTGCAGAGGAATGACACCCCGGGCCTGGCAGATCACAGTCCATAGGCATGCTTGAAAACCGTGTTTGCCTTTAAGAGAGAGCCCTGTCGCATGGGGAATTTGTAGAATGCTTTCTTCATTATCTCTATTCCTGTCAGAAACCTACTTCCTGAAAGCAATGAGCTAGATCTTAAAAAGAAACAGCGTGAGCCAAAGGCAAACCAGAAAAAAGAAAGCTAGAGACTTCACAGGTGTTCCCACCAGTATTTAGAAGAGGATGAGACAGTTGTGGTTTGGGAGTGATGGAAAAGGGAGCTCCAACCAGGAGAAAGTGCTTTTGAAAAGACTTCCCCTGGTGTGGCTGGCATCGAGGTGGATTTATTGTTATTACTGCACATTTCTAAGAAGACTCTTGAAGCTTCACAGCATTGGGGGCCCTTCAGATGGACAGATCAATGTGGTTGATATGAAAAAACCATATCATATGGTTCCTGCTTTTGTTCCTGCCTAACACATACTTGTAGGGTTAAAAAGGGCATAGAGCTGCTCACTGAATTAAACACATAATATAGTTTTAAAAATGCTTTGATAGTTTTTGCTACAAGAGGTCGAATAGATAAATTTGACTTTAATGCTCTAAAAGGAGCACAGTCAAACCTATTTAGTGTTTTAAACATGTCTCTTTCTTTCTGTCCTAATTTTTATTATGTAAAGACTCTGTTTCTTCAGGCAGTTTAAAAAGGACACAACAAGTAAGTACTATTATTCAAATAAGTATGTGCTATATTCAAATCATTTATCTCAATTTTTATGTATTTAGATTTACTATAATATATTAAGCAATATGGCTATCCTTAGAATGTTTGTTAAAAACAGAGTCCAAAGTGTATACACAATTTATAATATTTATTTATATATATAAATAGTAAAAATAATTGGTAATTTACCTTCATTTTGTAAAAAGAAAAAAACCATGTCAAGTTGAATGTGGATATTTCCCTTTTTATTTTTTATAAATTTTTACATTTATTGTTAAGCATTTCCGAACCTCATGAGATTTTGACAATGCCTTTTTGTTTTTATGCTTCAAGGTAACTGCTGAAGCTCAGGTTTGTACTGATCCACAGAATGTCTGCAAACTTCAGCATTTGAGGTCTCTAGGACTCCTGTCTGACACAGAGTGCAGGAGTAAAGGAGACCCGGATGCCAGTGGAAACCATGCGGGGGAGTATCTATGGTCACATGGCCATCGGCTATCTTTCTCCTGACACGGTCTCTCTGAGAGTCAGTCAAGCACGTCAACTAGTACCTTGTGGAGTCAAAGCAGAGGTGAAAGGCCCCCAGAGCCAGCACATCATCGTAGCTGTGATCCTGACCAAGCTCTTTTCCGGCTGTGAAATCCCAGGTACGGATGAGGTATTGCAGCCAGCGAGGTTGGGTGACCCGTGCCTGTGCTGTCGCATTGTCCAGCAGAGAAGGATAAAGTAGCATTTGCTATGGGAAAGCTGTGGACAAAGTTGGGAGGGCTTTGGATTGTTGCCCCAAGAACTGACTCCTGGATCCGTGTTAATCCATATCGAACGTTAACTTTATTCTGCAAATGAGGAAAGGAGTGGATCAGAATATTTCTGATGCAGAATATGATTTTTTTTAATCCTGAGGTGTTTTAAGGAGTATGTGATTCTTTTTTGACAGTATAAATCTGTGATTTTTCCCCTCTTATCTCTATGGGTGCTACCTAACTGGTTAGCAATGAACTATCCAAAGGTTGAATTCTCTCTTCTTTCAGTTAAGTGTAATAAAAAAGTTTGATGCTTTGACAATAGGAGTATTTTTCTAGCAAAATAAATCCAGCTTTATATTTCCAAATTTAGTTTCTTATTATTTTGTTATACAGATAGTCAATTAAAATACTACTAAACAAAAACCGGTTAGCTAGGAATACACGACCTTAAGACAAGATATATAATTTGGCACTTTTGTAGAGGGAATATTTCTTGAAAAACAAATGACAATGTGTATACATTTTATCATTATTTGATGATTGTTCAAGTTTCCTGACAGTATAATGTAATTAAATGGTGAAATATTAAGATATTTTAAAAATCCAAAAACCATATCTATTGAAGAAAAACAGTTATCTGATTCTTTCTACAGTTACCAAAAATATTCTTTCGGGGAAAATGTTTTCTCCTCTTTAATCACTGCGTATTTTATTTCTAGGGGAGAGAGATTATTATGTATTTTTTGTGAAAATATTTTCTATAAGCCACGTGTAGGTGAAGGATCATATTTTTGGATAAATATAAATAAGCTATTTTTATGACATATATACTTGAACTGAGTATATATTTCCCTTTTAAATATAACATAATATTTTGACATAAATTTACTTGAACTAGACTATCATTTAAAATATTTTATGCATGTTTATTTATATATATTTATAATATAAGTTTATTTTAACTAAAGAGTATCATTTACAGTCTGACATTGGGAATACTATATATATTCCTTGAGGCTCAGTTTTCCTCATCCACAAACAGGAAAGAAACCAATCACCACCCTCATTTAATGTTACTTCCTAAACTCCCTTTCCTTGAATCTCATGATTTTCATATTTTCCTCATACTTGAAGAAGGAGTCATGATCCACTGACTCTAAAGTTCAAGGGATAATATGAATGAATGAGCGGGGTCTGACATAAGCAATGTAGCAGGCGCAGTGTTGGTCAAATTGGTGTGTGTGTGTCCTTAGTAAGAAGGGCTTACTCTATTTGGTGTCAATATAATTGCCATTTGGGCATAACACAGGCACTAAGTGATCAAACATAATTTTCAAAAGGTGATATAAGCCTAGAGGTTTAGGTGAGTATGGAATATATCAATTATTAAATTTTGGCCATGAATTCAATGATTTTGAAAGAACTGAATGCTTAACATAAGATGCCCATAAATGGTCATGGACCATTATTTAATTGTGTAGAATCTCTGTTGTAAGGCATTACAAAGATGAAAAAAAAATTTCCCTGATATTCCCAGATACTTGCTTTAACCTGTTTATTTCAGATGATCATGCTTATCATTCATTTAGCTGTCCCTGTTACGTAATGATAAATACTGCCATTTTAATGCCTCAGGCCACATTGCACAGGATTCGAACCGTGTTCTTTGCCTACAGTCCTCAAAAATGAGCGAGTAGAGAGCGACGTGCACGAATCTGATATCACCCCTTTCAAGGAGACAGATGGACGAAAGATGTTCAATGGATGAAAGGAGAGGTAAAGTTTTTTGTTTGCTTTCTTATTTTGTGAAAATATGATTTCAAGTAAGAAGAAGTGAAATCATGATAATTGGGTTTCTGTATATTTGACGTTATTTGTCCGGTTCTTCAGAGATCAAGGGGTATATGTAAATGTAAAATTCAAGGATATTTGTAATCACAGTAAAAAGGGATATTCATTTCCAATTCCAGAATGAATTTCCATTTTATTCCAACTCTGAGGGCTTTCCTAAGCTCAATGCTTACTATATATTTTTGCTTTCTGAATCTGTACAGAATTGCCACGGCGTAAGGTTGCATTAACCCTGGGAGTTACATGTTTTTTCCTCCTGCTGGCAAGCACAGGCTTGAGATATATGCGTGAGTATCGGGCACACACATTTTTTTTTTTTTATGAGAACAATGAGCTAGAGTGAAAAATGAGATACCATAACTGAACTTCTGCTGAGCCTTTGTAAACTATAGAGTCCTATAGAAATGTTAGTAATCATGATGGTGTTTATAATATCGATGACGATAATTTTGCTATTTTGCCATCACTTAGCTTTTATACCACACAAAATAGTGTATGTCATGGCTGTAATGGCACAAAATTTTGCTGAAATGTACAGTGAGGTTTACATATATATTCATCTTTATATTTTGTGAAGGAGGAAGTTTTCCATATGACCAGAGAATTGGAAAAATCTTTCTTTGAGTATTACACTCCTTATCATACTGCAATACTGCTTAAATCACAGAGGAATATAAGGTTGATCTATTTTTATAACACTTTTTATATTTTTCACATCGATTGTTAAAAATTTATATACAATCCTTTTTAAATATCTTCTTCCTGATTTTTTAATCCTTTAGCTCATGAATTCAGCAACAATTTCGAGGATCTTTCTGGGTCAGGGCCTATATATGATAGATACTAAAGGTACAGCATTTTAAAAAGTCAGCACTTAATGAGCTCAGTTTAAAGGGGAAGATTTTTTTTAAATGAAACAGTTATATATTTTTTAAAGATGAGGTTTATTTATTTATTTATTTATTTACTTTTGAGAGAGAGAGAGGGAGCACGCAAATGGGAGAGGGGCAGAGAGAGATGGGGAGAGAGAAAATCCCAAGCAGGCTCCTCACCACCAGTGCAGAACCCGGTGCTGAGCTCAAACTCATCAACCGTGAGATCGTGACCTGAGCAGAAGTCATATGCTTAACTGATTGAGCCACCGAGGCACTCCTATTTATTTTTAATGTTTTATTTATTTTTGAGAGAGAGAGAGAGAGAGAGCATGAGCTGGGGTCGGGGGCAGAAAGAGAGGAAAGCAGAAGATCCTAAGTGGGCTCTGTGCTGACAGCAGGGAGCCTGATGAGCAGCTGGAAAGCATGAACCCTAAGATCAAGACCTGAGCCGAAGTCAAACACTCAACTGACAGCCATCCAGGTGCCCCGTAAACAAAGCAGTTTTTAAAATAAAATAATATCAGTGCTGGGGTAATGGCTTCAAGATATCAGCTGAATAGAATATTTCATGCTGAGGGCCAGAAAACCTTCCTCCAGGAGATAATAATTGATATGATGTAAAGGATAGGTAGGACTCAATCAGGAAGCTTGGGGTAGAGAGACTACTTATCCAGGCATAGAAAACAAGAACCAAAGAACTGGATGCTTTAGGAGAATTAAGAAGTAGCTATAAATAGGTTTGCCTAGGTATGCACGTTTTGATAATTTTAATATCTTAAGAAATTTTAGATCTGTTCTAAAAACAAAAGAAACCACTGAAAGGTGTTATGTGAGGGAAAAACATGACTCCTGTCCCATGAGGCGATAGGGATTTGGGAAAGGTCAATCTCAACATCCGGCAAGTGGTTGGAAGGAGAAGATAACAGGATGTTTCAGGAATCAGTGTTAGTTAGAATGACTGAATTAGTGTTATGAAGAAGTAATGAAGGGTAGGCACCATAAATGAGAAATCTTCAATGAGAAGAATTGCTAGAACATGAGTGCGTGAAGGAGACAATTGAATCAGTGATACCATTTGACATGAGGCTTACACACCTTGGTGAATGTCTTCCAAATATTAAATATTACTAAATTTTAATTACTAAAATTAAATATTACTAAATATTACTAAATAATACTAAATATTACAGAGAACACAAGAAGAACACTAAGTATGGTTTGATGTTTGCGTAGGTGTGCTAATAATGGTAAGGAGTGAGGTGCTTGGATATATCAGTGGAGATGACCAGAAAGAATGAGATTGGTCTGTGTCTGTTAGAGTGGGTTTTAACAGCAGACACAGACCATCAGCACGTACACGGTAGTATTAAAAGTCTGGAGATTGGGGTGCCTGGGTGGCTCAGTTGGTTGAGCGGCCGACTTCGGTACAGGTCATGATCTCGCGGTCCGTGGGTTCGAGCCCCGCGTTAGGCTCTGTGCTGAGAGCTCAGAGCCTGGAGCCTGTTTTGGATTCTGTGTCTCCCTCTCTCTGACCCTCCCCTGTTCATGCTCTGTCTCTCTCTGTCTCAAAAATACATAAACGTTAAAAAAAAAATTAAAAGTCTGGAGATTAAGGAAGATGCCTGGATGAAAGATACTGGAAGATATCATAGAGGAAAGCAGAAGCTGGACCATGCTCTACCTTGTGAAACCAGGGAGAGTAGATTAGGCTAGAAGAACAAGGGTGAGGCGGGGTATCGTAGGATAAATCAACATTTAGCTGGAGGTAAAAGATGAGTAAAAACAGTGAAAAACCATGCTGCTTGGTTAAACAAGTAGGTGGGAGTCCAAAACATTATGGTATCATGGAGAGAAGGCAAAGGTAGTCAAGGGTTCCAACTAGTACTGGAGGATCAGGTATTATAATGGCTAGAAGTAAGCTTATTAAATTTGGCGAGAGAGGCCAAAATGATATTTTCTAGAGTAGCTCCAGTAGGATAGTGGGTATGGTCAAAGCCTGACTGTAATGGCTAAAACTCATTCACACATTAGGAAGCAGAGACAGTGAATACAGAAAAGTATTTTTTCAATTATGACTAAGTGAAACATTTACCAAGCCTTGTAAATAAGTGGATCTATATGATCTCGAACATTGTTAAAGGGAGTATAACCTGATACAAGCACGTTGTCAGTTTGGTACTATCTTCTAAAACTCAACACGATTCAGTAATTCTCACCCTAAGTGTATATCCAACGGATATACTTGCACATACACAGAAATGAACATCTACAGAACAGTTTGTAGCAGTGCCATTCACAACATCGAACATCTCACAACCACTCAAAAGATCATTAATGGGAGAGTAAATGAGATCTCTGCAATTGATTTACCAATGGAATTTATGCGACAGTCAAAACAACGACAATGGTATCCAGCAATATGCATGAATTTTAGCAAAAGCATATGAAATGGAAAAAAAAGGCAAGAGCACAAACATATATGTGTATGTCCTGATACATTTTTATCAGCTGAAATAGTTAAAATGAATCAGTACATAAAGAAGGAATAATACTGTATGTAAAACGTATGAAGGGAGTAATTGAAATGTGCATTAGTTACAGCATGTGAGAGAAGTAGGGAGATGAGATGAAATGACTACCAAAGTAAATAAATGCAATGCTTAAGGTCCTGGCTACAATTTGGGGTAGCTAACAACTTGCTAACTAAGGAAGAAAAACCAGTTCTGAGAGCAATGTGGTAAGTGTCTCATGAATGGAGGAATGTGAATAATCTTATGCTAACACCCAATCTGACAGCAAAGAAAAGAACTCTGTTACAAAAAATATGAAAAAGAAAGGACAGGAACTTTGTGGGAAAGCTGACTTGAGATGATCATATGCAAGAGAAGGGAACCATGAGAAGGAAACCGTGGAGGGTTCAAGAGAGAAATTGACAGTAGGAGATCAAGATCGCCAAAGATTCGATACGGGATGAAATCCAGAGCAGGGGTGAGAGTTTCATACTTGTTCAATGCAAAGCACATTTTTTTCTGGGGTAGAGTGAGAGATACCTGTGTATCTATAGGAGGAGGTGTAGGAAGGTGAGGAGAAGGTATCCATGCTGGTGACGGTTTCTATGCGAAGGAGCAGATGAGGCCATGTTCTGAGAGGGAGAGTCAAGGAGGTGCTCCAGATAATTTGGGCAAAGTATAAATACTTGAACTAGCTGTTGAATTGAGAAAAGAGTGTGACTCAGTAACTATACTGAGTAATATTGAGTGGTGAAATGGTGAAGAAAACTATAAGCGTTGGTCAGCATTAGTTTGTATGTGTACAGTTTTGTGATTTTTGTCATTTGAGTTGCAGAAACTTGTGTTCCAAAATTGGCCATTTCTGTATATTTAAAATTTTTGTTTTTATTTTTCAAGGAGGCCCCACACCCAACCCCCATGACCCTGAGGTCAAGCGTGGCTTGCTCTATGGACTGAGCCAGCCAGGAGCCCCAGTGAAGTTGACTATTTTTAGAGGCGCATAAATACCATGTTGCAATCTTCTTAGAGGTCCTGCCAAAATTAGTTCTATATCATGTGTCCTTGGATAGACAAAAAGGAAAGGACAAGGGAATTGGGTAGTCACAAGAAATGGTAGTATTTAGGTACTTGAGGTCTTAATCTCTCTCTCTCTCTCTCTCTCTCTCGCTTTTTTTTTTTTGAATGTCTTTATTTTTGAGAGAGAGATAGAGAGAACACAGGAGAGTGGGGGTGGGCAGAAGGAGAGAGGCGGCAAGAGGATCCAAAGAAGACTTCGGGCTGTCAGCACAGAGCCCAACGCCGGGCTCGAACTCATGGATCGTGAGATCATGACCTGAGCCAAAGTTGGACACTTAACCGACTAAGCCACCCAGGCGCCCAATTGACACTTCAACATATTTTAACGTAACATTTTCTCTGATTGTACTTTCATTTAATCAGCAACATTCACTATGCCATTTAGAACTAGAGTGATTATAATAAAGTGATTTATTACAAGCATTCAAGACCTTAATTTTATAATATGAATTGAAGTTTTTTATAGGTATTCTGGTGCCACCAGGCAGGATATGAAAAAAACAGAAGAAAAAAATGCTTCCTTAGCAGAAGTTGGAGATCACTCAATTCACTGTAATCAATTCAGTACAGGTATGTACTGAATAATTACACTAGTAGTTTACAGATTTTCTTCCCATGGAATGATCCCATATATCAAAATGATCCCATTTTGATATATAACTTTAAAACTTTACATTGAACTTAGTTAGGTTCTTTAATTTTGCTTACCTTTTTAAAAAATCAAATCCATTTTCTATATTATAGCTAATTGAACTGTTGCCTTTCACGAAGTCATTTTGATTTGATTGAGTGATTTATGCCTGTGATGAATTTTCTCCAATATAGATCCCTTGGAATTAATACCATTCTCTTATATTCACTTTGGTGGATTTCTCCTGAAGGGAGAACTGCTTCGTATTGGAGCAGTGTATCTGTAGTTGGGAAGTCATGATTTCTCAGTGTAATCCGAGCAATGGTCTGAGGTCTGAGAGATGATCTCTGGCCCCACAGTTTGGCCAAAAGCTATTCCCAACAGACTTTTGGGATACAGGAAAACCACCTATTTTTTCATCATTCAGTGTGAAGTAAGGAAGAAATACAGGGAAAGGAAAGGTCTCTAAGTTGTCTCGTGGTTGAGGATCATGCGGCTTTTGTTTTAAGATAAAGACCATGACGCATTCCTTTTTTTTTTTTCATTTTTCTTTTATTTAAATCCAAGCTAGTTAACATACAGTGTAGTAATGGTTTCAGGAACAGAATTTAGTGATTCATCATGTACATATGTAACACCCAGTGCACATCCTAAGTGCCCTCCTTAATGCCATTCACCAATTTAGCCCATCTCCCCACCCAAACCCCTCCAGTGACCCTCAGTTTGTTCTCTGCATTGAAATATCTCTTATGGTTTGCCTCCCTCTCTGTTTTTTATCTTATTTTTCTTCTCTTCCCCTATGTTCATCTGTTGTGTTTCTTAAATTCCACATTGAGTGAAATCATATGATACTTTGATTGACTTATTTTGCTTAGCATAATACACTCTAGTTCCATCCACATTGCTGCAAATAGCAAGATTTAATTCTTTTTGATGGTTAATATTTCATTATATATATGTGTGTGTGTATATAGGTGTGTGTGTGTATACACACACACACACACACACACACACACATATATATATATGTATATATACCACATCTTTATCCATTCATCGATGGACATTTGGTCCATTTCCACAATTTGGCTATTGTTGATAGTGCTGCTATAAACATTGGGTGCACGTTCCCCTTCAGCATTTTTGTTTCCTTTGGATAAACACCTAGTAGTGCAGTTGTTGGGTCATAGGGTAGTTCTATTTTTAATTTTTTTGAGGAACCTCCATACTGTTCTCCAGTGGCTGCCCCAGTGTGCATTCCCACCAGCAGTGCAAAAGGGTTCCCCTTTTTCCACATTGCCAACATCTGTTGTTGCCTGAATTGCTCATTTTAGCCATTCTGACAGGTGTGAGGTGGTATCTCATTGTGGTTTTGATTTGTATTTCCCTGATGATGAGTGATGTGGAGCATCTTTTCATGTGACTGTCAGTCATCTGATGTCTTCTTTGGAAAAGTGTGTGTTCACATCTTTTGTCCATTTCTTCACTGGATTATTTGTTTTTTTGGGTGTTGAGTTTGATAAGTTCTTTATAGACTTTGGATACTAGCCCTTTATCTGATATGTCATTTGCCAATATCTTCTCCCATTCTGTCAGTTGCCTTTTCGTTTTGTGGATGCTTTCCTTCACTGTGCAGAATCTTTTTACCTTGATGAGGTCCCAATAGTGCATTTTTGCTTTTATTTCCCTTGCTTCTGGAGACATGTCTAGTAAGAAGTTTCTATGGCCGAAGTCAGAGAGGTTGTTGCCTGTTTTCTCCTCGAGGATTTTGATGGTTTCCTGTCTTATGCATCTCATCCATTTGAGTTCATTTTTATGTATGGTGTCAAAAAGTGGTCCAGGTTCATTCTGCATGTCGCTGTCCAGTTTTCCCAACACCATTTGCTGATGAGACTGTCTTTTTCCACTGTAGTTTCTATGCCTGCTTTGTCCAAGATGAGTTGGTCATACATTTGTGGGTCCATTTCTGGGTTCTCTGTTCTGTTCCATTGATCTATGTGTCTGTTTTTGTGTCAGTACCGTAATGTTTGATGAAAACAACTTTGTAATACAGCATGAAGTCTGGAATTATGATGCCTCCAGCTTTGGTTTTCTTTTTAAATATTCCTTTGACTATTCTGGGTCTTTTCGGGTTCCATACAAATGTTAGGATTGTTTGTTCTCTCTCTGTGAAGAATGTTGGTGTTATTTTGATAGGGATTGCATTGAATATGTAGATTGCTTTGGGTAGTATCGGCATTTTAACAATATTGTTTTCTAACCCATGATTATGGAATGAAGACAATGACACATTTCAAGGAAAATGGTACTGTTGTCGAAAAAGTTGTTACCACTTTTCAAAAGAAGAGGAAACTTGGGAGAGGAGCAAGGTGGCATGCCAAGATCTGCAGTCTAGTCTCGTGAAGATTGATACTAAAGAGGAGCAAGTACGTCTACTCTACTAAACCTGAGTAAATGCTTTCTGGGAAATTTGTATGTCTTGAGCTAGGATAATTGTTACAATTGCCTCCGGTATAATTTGGCCACTTTGTTTTGGAAGCACTTGTTAACTGGTGCAGATGTCTCTGCCAAGGAGGAGACAGAGACCTGGTGTAACAGAGACCTGGAAGAACCATCGTTTTCAGCGCCAGGGAAATGGTGATGTGAGATGTTTTTCAGTCTTTTTAGTCTAGGTGTCACATCTTCCCTTTTTATTTTATTTATTTATTTATTTATTTTTTTAACTTTTTTTTTTCCAACGTTTATTTATTTTTGGGACAGAGAGAGACAGAGCATGAACGGGGGAGGGGCAGAGAGAGAGGGAGACACAGAATCGGAAACAGGCTCCAGGCTCTGAGCCATCAGCCCAGAGCCCGACGCGGGGCTCGAACTCCCGGACCGCGAGATCGTGACCTGGCTGAAGTCGGACGCTTAACCGACTGCGCCACCCAGGCGCCCCACATCTTCCCTTTTTAGTATACATCAGAGAGTTCAGTATTTAGCTTCTCAGAGCTCATACAGGGCGAAAGAAAAAGCAGCCTGAAGGAGACAGTTTCGTATTGTACTTGGTTCTGTTCCTTCATCAGTATTTGGGACTGATCACACTTTTTTTTTTTTTTTTTAAGCTTATTTATTTTGAGTGAGAGACGGTGTGAGTGGGGGAGGGGCAGAGAGCGAGAATCCCAAGCAGGCTGTCAGCATCGGTGCAGATCTCAAGGGGCTCAAACTCACAAGTGTGAGATTATAACCTGAGTTGAAGTCGGCTTAACTGATTGAGCCACCCAGGAGCCTTGGGACTGATCACACTTCTTAAACTTTTTTTAATGTTTATTTATTTTTAAGAGGGGGGAGAGGGGCAGAGACAGGGACACAGAACTTGAAGCAAGCTCCAGGCTCTGCGCTGTCAGCACAGAGCCAGACGCGGGCTCGAACTGACAAAGTGAGAGAACATGACCTGAGCTGAAGTTGGACGCTAACCGATTGAGCCACCCAGGCACAGCAAGATGAGACTTTTAAGGCAAGATGAGACTCATTTTCATAGCCATGAGAAAAAAAGATGAAAAATAAAGAGATTGAATGTAGTTGCAATGATTGTTTAAAAACGTATTTTTTGGGGGGGGGGGGGTGGGATGCCTGGATGGCTCAGTTGGTTAAGTGGCCAACTTTGGCTCGGGTCTTGATCCCACAGTTCATGAGTTCAAGCCTCTCATCGGGCTCTGTGCTGACAGCTTGGAGCCTGGAGCCTGCTTCAAATTCTGTGTCTCCCTCTCTCTCTGTTCCTCCTCCACTCACACTCTTTCTCTTTCCCTCAAAAATGAATACAAGCTAAAAAAATTAAAAAAATGTACTTTTCTTTTACTTATAATCCAGAATGACAGAGGAAACATCTCTTTTCTAGAAGAGAAAAATTTAGATCACATTGCTATTCCTTATGTAGTTTGGGAATATAAAGTCAATCGAATGGATTCTGATGATTTCCTTCTAGTGATTCCATTTAGGCACTGATTCCAGTTACACTAATTATTCATAGCAATATTATTTCTATTAGTATCTTGTGAAGGATAAGTTAAAAACCCTATGTTAAAGAAAAGACAACACTCAGGAGTGCCTGGCTGCCTCAGTTGGTAGGGTATTTGACTCTTGATCTTCGGGTTGTGAGTTCAAGCCCCACGTCTAGGCCTTACTTAAAAAAACAAACAAAACAAAACAAAACAAAACAAAACAAAACAAACAAAAAAACTTCTATATTTTCTTATTTATAAAACTCTTATTAAAATAATAATATGAATGAATACCTTTTAACTGTTGGAAACAAATGAGTTAGGCAACAGCATATGGATTCAAACAAATTTAAAAAATCCAGCTACAGCTTATAAGTACCTTGATTAATTTAAACCTCAGTTGTCCTCTATCAATTCCTAAATGATTTCAGATTTTTCACTCAGAAATTAACTTATTTATTATCCATATTTCCCTTGTAATTTCCAATCCAGTTTTCTTCAGTTTTAGTCCTGCCACTGAAGTTTCTGGACTTCAGAGTTTCACTGTTTCATTTTTGAAGGAGAGAGAGAGATAGAGTGTAAGCGAGGAAGGGTCAGAGAGAGAGACAGACACAGAATCTGAAGCAGGCTCCGGGCTCTAAGATGTCAGCACAGAGCCCGACGTGGGGCTTTAACTCACGGACTGTGAGATCATAACCTGAGCCAAAGTTGAAGGCTTAACCGACTGAGCCACCCAGGCGCCCCCGGACTTCAGAGTTTCACTGCAACTTCTTCTTATACCTGTTCTCCTTGCATTGCCATGAACTAATCTACAGCCTTTGAAATTTATTGAGACTTTTGCCATTGATCAGAGCAAAATCTGAGTTTCATAGTCTATTGCCTCATTGTGATAGCCTGGCTTTCAGTGTCTGAACTGGACTGCTGATATACTATACAGACCTGTGAGAGACTTTGCTGTAGAACGGCATTACTCTTACACTGATAGCTTAGGATTTCCTATGTTTTGCTGCTTTGTAAAGCCTAAGAGTGTGATGAAAACAGTGGCTTAAATCCCTTGATACTGAAAACTGAGATTGCGTTTGATACATTTCTGTGTACCTCTAAGATCTAGCAAAATTATGTGAGTAAAAGAATCAAAGAATAGTTTTAGTGTTTCTTCAGAGACCTAGAAATGATAAAGCATGTATTTGTCATGTTTATATAATACCCATCCATTTTCCTTAGGCATTTAAACATACTGTATTAAAATTTTTTCTTACACAGTTACAGTGAAAAAAAAAATTGGTGTGTGTGTGCATGCATGTGTGTGTATGTGTGTGTGTGTGTGTGTGTGTGTGTGTGTGTGTGTGTGTTTGAGAGAAGGAGAAAGAGGGAGGATGATTAGATTACATTCATTTTAGGAAAGAATATTAATTTGTTGCTTCACATTTGCATCCATAGGAAACATTTGAAGGAAATAAAATACGTCAATTGGAATAATGATTACAAATAACTTACAGTATTTTTATGTTAAAGATATTTTAGAGACTGCATACATTATCCACTCCACAAAATCTTAAAAGAGATAGGGATTCCCACTGTATAGATAAGAAAACGTTCAAAGAAGTTTTATTTGCTTAAGGGCACAAAGCAAATAAGTGGGAAATGCTGTGTTAACATGTAGGTATAGTTTCTTCATTTTCACTGCCATATAATATTCCACAGTGTGGATATACTTCATCCATTCTCTAGATGATGGGAATCTGGGTTGTTTCCACCTTTTGTTGTTATGAATATTCCTTCATTAAACATGCTTAGACACGCTTCTGTGAAAAATTGTTCTGTGTGTCCTCACTTCTATTTATCCTAGGAGTGGAATCACTGGGCAATGTTTGTAAAAGTTTAATTTTATACGATAGTTCTAAATTATTTTTCGATATGATTTGAGCAACAGCTTAAAAGATAAGTTCGATCTCTATCATCACACAAACTTGGTGCTAACTTTAATTTCTGCCACTTGAATTGTTGTAAGATATATCCTTGTGGAATTGAATTGCGTTTTTAAAATGTTTACTTATTTTGAGAGAAAGAGAAAGAGAGAGCTTAAGAGAGGGTCAGAGAGAGAAAGAGAGAGAGAGAATCTCAAGCAGGCTGTGCACTGTCAGCGCAGAGCCTGATGTGGGGCTCAATCTCAAAAATCATGAGACTATGACCTAAGCTGAAATCAAGAGCCAGATGCTTAACCAGCTGAGCCACTCAGGTGCTCTGATATGCACTTTTCTGATCTCTAGTGAGCTTGGTACCTTTCTATACATATGGCTATATTCCTTATTTACTTGAACAACTTTTTTTAAGTTTATTTTTGAGAGACACAGAGTTTGAGTGGGGAAGGGGCAGACACACACACACACACACACACACACACACACACACACACATACACACACACAGAATTCAAAGCAAACTCCAGGCTCTGAGCTGTCAGCACAGAGCCCAAGGTGGGGCTTGAACTCAGGCACCAGGAGATCATGACCTGAGCCGAAGTTGGACACAACCAACTGAGATGATGCCTTATTTATTTGAAATATGTTCTCATTTTTTTGTCCATTTTTTCTTATTGGATAATTTTGTTTTCTTGTTGATTTCTAGAAACATGTATTTGTTCTTTAAATTATTGCAGATATCTCCATATTTGAAGCTTGTATTATACAATCTCTAAGGTGTCTTAGAGAAGAGAAGAAGAAGATGTCTTATGAAGAGAAGTTCCAGGTTTAGTGCAGTCATATTTACCTATCTACTTCATCATACATGGAGATATTTTTAAAGTTCATTGTCTCCCTTTCTGTATATCTTTCATCCAGTCACCAAGAATTGAGTGATTCCTTCACTGAAGCATTTCCATTTCAATGTCTTCTCTGCCCCATGGAGAAATTAGCCTGCCTCCTTCATTTATCATAGTGGCATTTGGAGATCTAAATGCTCAGTATTTTAGGAGTCCTCTGTGGGTAAGGCATTTTCATTGATGTTGTGAATAATCCTAATTATTCTGGTTTACACACAGATCTTCATTCAATCAAAAATAACATACAATTATTGGATTGGATTAAAGGTAGGACCCAAGAATCCCCGAAAGTGGCTGGATGGCTCAATCGTATCTCAGAGTCTGTAAGTTTTTATTTCACCATCTTCCTGCCCTCTTTCCTGCTCAGTAACTGATTGGTAGATTATTGGTGAACAAGAGGAACAGATCCTTGGGGACTTAGGGAATATCTTTAATTCCATTTGATCTCGCTTCTTAGATAGGCAACTGAATGCAAATCTGAGACCTCAGTAGACCCAAAGAGCATGATTTATTCCATGTTCTTTAATGGAGGGTCCTTCCAAACACAGTAAAATGATATTTTGCTTTTGTATTTTTCTCTTGTATGTTCTACAGTACTAGCAGGTACACATGTACGGTTGCAGGAAATGTTAAAAATACAACAAGGAAAGAAAAGTTGTATTTATAAAGCCAGTTCTCTCTGGAAGTGACATCTGTACCTGTCTTCTTGGTATCATTCAAGAACAACAACAAAAAAAGAGCTTATCGCAATAAGTCATCTAATAATGTTGCACTCTAACGTGGTCATTAAAATCTTCAATGGTATTATTTAGCAGAAGTCCACATAATTTCTGGAAGCTCTGTCTCATTAGTAAATCACATAGATTTGTTGGTTGATGTCCAGGAAACGAGTTCAGAAAATGTAGAAAAGCGATCTGTTTTAACTGAATCTAAGTAGCAGGGGGACACCATGAGAAACAGGCTATTTGACATGCTGTTTATTGATGGCCCACGATGTGCGAGGCACCCTTCTAGCCACTGAAGCTATAGTGGTGAATGAAACACGCTACAGTGTCCCACCCTTATGGATATTACATTCCAATGCAAACATCATAGTGCTCTAGGTGATGAGTGATGACAATCCCAATACGCCAAGTAAATTACATGGCACACTAGAGGATGATAAAAGCTACGTGGTGGTGTGAGGTCTTACTTTTAGCTCTATCACAAGATATCTTTTGTCTACGAAATTAAGAGGAAGAGATTTCACTGCTTTAAATGCGGTGGTCAGAGACAGACTCCTTGAGAACCGATGTTTGTACAGTATCTGTTTTTATTTTTTATTTTTATTTTTGAGAGAGAGGGAGCGTGCATAAGTGAGCAGGGGAGGGGCAGACAAAAAGGGGAGCAATAATCCCAAGTCAACTCCACACTGCCAATGCAGAGCCCAACACAGGGCTCAAACTCACAAACCATGAAATCATGACCTGGGCCAAAACTAAGAGTCAGATGCGTAACCCACTGAGCCACCCAGGCACCCCTGTGTTGGTCAGTATCTTGAATGAGCAGGGCATGTGGATTAGCTGATACAAATGCATCCCAGCAGTAACAACAGCTGTGGTCAAGACTCAGAGGTAGGAGCGTCCTTAGCATTCCTGAGGAAACAGCAAGAGGGCCTGGGATGCTGGAGCAAGGGGAACGAGGTGGGAGAGAAGTAGGTCAGAGAGGGAATGAC